TGTGTGTGTGTGTGTGTGTGTGATGCTATTACTCAAATACTGTGAAATCCTTTAAAGATGATGGGATAAAAGGTACTTGAGATGCCCAGGTCCAACCTAGCAATCTCTCTCCACCACGAGCAACAACGCCTGGAAGATGGGCTTGTTTATCAATGCCAGCATCCTCTCAGCCACTCAAGCAGTCACTCCAGATGCATTTTTTGAGCATCTACTAGGGTGTCAAGACCTCCACTAGTGAACACAGAGTAGACTCATAAAGAGAAGACAGTAAGTACTGTAAGTTACCTCTTTCCATAGTTCATTCTTCTTCTTTTTTTTTTCCTTAAAATTTTTATTGTGATTTGGGTGAAATTTTACAGAGCATATTTGTTTTCCATTCAACAGTTCATTTACATTTGGTTTAGTGACACTGATTGCAATCTCCACAATGTAACAGCTCTTGTCCCAGCTCCTCCTTGTGGTTACCTTTTCCCTGTGCCCTTCTTGCCTATGCATTCCTGCCTCCCAAGCTTTCTCCCTGCCCTTCTGATGCCCCATGGTTGACTGTTCTAAGGAGTTCATCTCCCTGCTATAATTGTCCAGCTCATAGGCCTGTCTATTATTTGACTGAGAGTCAAGCCACAGAAGTGATTTCAACTCCAGGCCCATATTCTCAGGGGGTTTCACCACTTTCTATCAGACCAGCAATGCTGGTCTCCATGGTTCATTCTTCCAACAAATGTTTATGGAAGAGCTGCCCTGTGCAAGGCACTGGGGATAAAAAGATGAGGACAGAAAAGACACAGACCTCCTGGACATTACTGTGTGGTGAAGGAGCTGATCATGAGCCAATCAGCCATACAAGTAAGTATGAAATGAAGACTGTGAGAAGGGCTATCAGGAAAGAGTCACCAGCCTCATCTTGTGAGGGGACATTAGTGAAAGCTTTCACACAGTTTGAAGTCTGGAAAGACTCTCCCTTAAGTGGTTAAATGCTCCACTGCTAGCTAAGAGTTTGGTAGTTAGAACCCACCAAGAAACCCCTTGGAAGACAGCCTGGCTTCCTGCTTCTGAAAGGCCTATGAAACAGTTCTACTCTGCACACATGTCATTGGCATGGCGGGCTTCCTTTGGGAGGAGCCACACTGCAGGGGAGACCTGAGGATGGGAAGGAGTTCACCGCAGGATAGGGGCGTTCAGCATCCCGGGGAGAACAAAAGTGCACAGAAATGTCTCTGGCCAGAAATTATCCTAGGGAAGGGCTGAATGAAGGCTAGTGTGACAGGGGCATTTATGACTGAGGTCAAGAGAAGGTCAGTGTCGTCTATGGGCATTGGTCTGTTCATTCATTCTTGTATGCATTTATTCAGCCATTTTCTGCTTATAAACTAGGTGTCAGGGACAGTACTAGGACTTAGTGATACAACCCAACAATGGACAAGATCTGCCTTTGCCCACTAGGGTCTTGTGTGCATGCTCTTCAAAGTCCTGTGATCTTTTACCTTATCAGTGAGAAGTTCTTCACCAAGCTACCCCATATGTGCTATTCATTTATGAATCACATATGCGTAAGTTACACATGGCACATGAAAAAGCATTAAAACATCCATTTCAAAGGATAAGATAAAAACAATGTTGCAATGGAAGGACTAACTGTTCTTGCTGTTCTCCCAATAGTCCATCCCATACCTGGCTTCAGGGACCCCCTTTCTAGAAGAGGGGCTTATACGTCTAGGTAACCGTCACAACAGAATCAGAACCTGGGGCTCCCTGCCTTCATCCAGGCCCCTTCCCACTAATCTTGTATGGGCATCAGACCAACCTAGGGCACCTGACCCACATTCAGGAGGTCTGTGGAGGGGCCCGAACACATGTGTTGCTAGCACTTTCCTGGGTAATACTGACTCCATTAGTACACAGACCACGCTTTGAGAATCCCTGCACTAGACTTTGTCTCAGAGGGTGGACCCCAGACCTCTTGCCCAGACTGGTGTTGGGTTTGTAAAGAGTGCTGACATCTAAGCAACATACTATGCCATAAGGCCACCACCTGTCTGTCAATTTGTCATACTGTGGTGGCTTTCATGTAGCTACGAAAGCTAAATAACCCGTATTCAAATACCAGCAGGATCTCCCATCATGGGCAAGTTTTAGCAAAGCTCTGACTAAGACAAACAAGGAAGAAAGACCTAAGAATCTACTTTTGGAAATTAGGAAAACCTATGGGTCACAACAAAACATTGTCCAGTATAGTGTGAGGATGAGCCCCTAGGTCAGAAGGTTCTACATAGTAGTTGCAACAAAGGATTCAAACGTACCAACAAGATGGCCCAGTACCAGGCAACATTTCCATTCTGTTTTCATGGATTCGCCAAGCGTCAGAGCAGACTTGAAGGCAACTAACAACAACCTAGCTTACAAACTCTGGAGGCCCCATGAGTCTGTGTCACAGACAAGGCTTCCCAGGTCATTGAGATAGCTGCAAATATTTGAGAACCAGGGCTCTCGAAGAACACTGCCGCTGTGGTTGGGCAGTGACGGGGTCCCGGCCCCCCTCCCGGCTTACCTTGCAGGCGGTAGAGCTGGCCTGTGCTGTGCTGCCTGGTAATGTGGCGCCAGTAGGCGCTGCGGGGCAGGGGCACCATGGTGCTGAGCGAGGCAGCCCGCTCACTCATCTTCACCTGGAGCTGTGGGCAAAAGAAGGCAATGGCATCAGCAGTGTTGGGGCTGAAGGAGAGAAACGAGAGCAGGCATTCCTAGAACCTGGGGCCCGCCGATCAGCAACTCAGCACTGATGGTGCGAGGGACAGCGCCTATTTCTGCTTACTTGATAGCACAAGTTCTTCAACCTGCGGGCAGGAGGTCTGAGATTTCCTTTGGGGAACCTCCTGCCAATCACACTCAATCCCTGCAGCCTGGTGGTGCAGGTCCCACCAATGCCTCGAGGGTGGGCAGGGGACCCAAGCTAAACCAATCATTTCATCTTCTTTGAGGACAGTGCAGGGGTCAACAGTTGACCCAAGCCAGGTCAAGACACAATTAGGGGACATTCATGAGAATTTGGGGAAGACAATAAGGAGAAGTAAAATAGGGATTTTTGTCGACCTTGTTCTTTGTTCTTCGCCCCTTGGGGCTTTTAGCACTCCTTCATACCTAGCAGGCACACAGTAAATACAGGTTGAAATGATTGAAAGAACTTCCTTGTGCAGTTGTTGAGAGGACAGGGATCTTGGAACAACGAAGGGAGAACTTCCAGTGAAGGGAGATGCTACAGACGGAAAGAGCTGAGGGGACAGTGCGATGCTTGACAGGCTCTTCTGAGACCTGGAGCCCAGCCGCAATCCACACAGGAGCAGCAGAATTTTCAATTATATGGGCCGCTGACTCCTTTCCTGTGCAAGCTCATCTGAGTCTGGGTTTTATGCCACCAGCATAACAACAAAACAAAGCAAAATGAGAACCAGAAACGCTGCTCACGCAAGGGCCTTTCAGAGGGTGCTCTTTATTGCAGAGCCTGCAGGAGGGAGGAAAGAGGACGATGAGGCTGTTGGCCACAGGCAGCGAACCATCTCCCTAAAGGGACAGGCTAAATCCCCCAGACCCTTGGAGAAAGTCGAAGCTCTAGCAAACCATGACAGGGAACTGACCATAGGAGGGTTGTTTCATAGTGAAACCATCCTCATCAGACGGGTACAATAAAGGGAGAGGCAAATTGGACAACTCACGGAGGAAGGGTGGAAGGGGAATTTGAGGAGGCACCCAAGTGCCTGTCTTAGTCCAGTCACTATGTAATCTTACTCTGCCACAAGGCAAGGAGAAACTAAATGCATTGCCTGAGTTGCTGGAGTTCCTGGAATACCAAATAACCCATCCCAGTCTTATAAAAATGTGTTCACAAATACACAAAGATTTGTGCAAAGATATTCAGTGGTATATAATTTGCAATTCTAGAAAGCTGGAGGCAACTCAAAATCCATTACACAGGCTGGTTAACTACACGTAGGTATACTGGAATACCGGGCAACTGTTAGCAAGGGGAAGATTCACACGCTGGAAAGGAACCATCGCATAGTGTCTCATTAAGGAAAAACAGCGATGGCAGACCGCTACATCTAGTAGAACGCAATTTTAATTTCTCAGGGAAACATGGGGCATTACGCACCTACCCATTTGGGCTGTGTGAAGGTTCAGTGAGCTGACATCTGCAAAACACTTAGTTCTTGCTTGCCATAAAACAGGCACTCAAAGAAGTGGATATTATTATTATTATACATGGCAGTGCCCATTTAAAGTTAAAAAAAAAAGACTCCCACTGTATACATCTAGACATGATAGTAGTAGACATATTTATCTGCCCATTCACACAAAAAAGGCAAAATCTTTCCTGGAGACCCAACTCTTTTTATGCGACGATACTCAACTTAGGAAAAAAAAAATTATAACCATTTACTCAAAAGATAATGTAATTTATATGTGCTGTGTTTACATTTTTTGGATTAAATTGCCTGCCCCTCAGCTAACAGATCTGTGAAAGAAAGCCCCGGTGATCTGCCCCGGTAAAGATTACAGCCTAGAAAACCCCACAGGGCAGTTCTATTCTATAACACACGGGGTCGCCAGGAGTTGGGGACTGACTTGACCACAGCTAACAATATCCTAATAGTACAATTGCTAAAACAGTCATGCCCCAAATGTGTCCTTAAGTGGAATATCACAGCACTAGGTTCCAGGGGGACATTGCTTCCTGAAAGTATTCTTACAGTCTAAAGGGTAGAAAGCTGAGAAGAAAGCTAGCAGAAAAGTTCGGTGGTTATCTTTGTACACAAGAAAGTCTCAAAGTTCAAGAGTTTTAAAAAAAAAAAAATCTGTTTACCAGTGACATTCAACCTCATTTACTTAGAATGCAAGAAAATAAATAAAGAAAAACATGTAAATTTGCAAGGTACTGATTATTTGACTTTTTCAATGTAAGAAAAACATTTGGAGAATAGCAGTTGCTTCGAATAATTCACAACGTTACTGCAAATATGTTTAGGCAGCTCAGCATGATTTGAACGTATTTTTAGAAAGCTTATTTAGGAACGAGAATGAAGTGACACCAATGTTAAGGCTTCGCAGAGAAGACCACAGAGGCTGGCTTTGCATTTCTTGTTCAACCTTTTGAAAGAACGTCTGACTTCATAAAGGAGCATTTTAATTGTCTTGGAGAAAGATGATAAGAAAAGCCTTCTTATTTAACAAGGCAAAACTGTTAGCATTCTGTTAGGGTGCCAGGCCTTAGGGCGTCACTGGGTAAGTATCTAGCAGGACAATTCCTAGCTTTGTTCTTTTCTCTTGCTGCAACCCCTTGTCCATGATAGCAAACCACCAGTGAGGTGGGAAGGGACCAGGTGCTCACAGATACCAGTAGTTTAAATATAAATTAGTGTCATGCGTTTGGAGGTATCAAATTATAACCTAGAGTATCTGAAGAAAAGGATTGCATTCTTCCTCCTGTTTTTAAACATTCTGTATTTTTCCATACTTTGATTTTTCTTTTTACAATAAACATATATCATAGTTCGTTCACAATAAGAGACAAAAATTACCCACTATCATAAAATTTTAAAGTATGAGGAGTTTTGCAATGACAGGATATAGACATTCCTGAAAAACCTCCCAGTTTGTAAGATAGTTGGACAAATCTGGCTATGGGAAGGCCATTCAAAATATAGGCAAATATGTAATCATAGCCTTAACAAAATCAACTAATGTGACTTTGGGGGACAGACTGGACAGCCCAGTAGCTCTTGAGTTAATCTAGACTCTACGCAACCCCATGTGTGTCAGAGTAAAACTGAGCCCCATGGCTGATTTGTCAAAAGATCAGCAGGCCTTCCTTCCAAGTGCCTCAGGGTGGGCTTGCATCTCCAATCTTTTGCTTAATAGTCAAGCATATTAACCATTTGCAAAACCAGGGGCTCAGAAAACAAGGTATCAAAAAAAAAAACAAAAAAAAACCCTCCTGCCATTGAGTCGATTCCGATGCATAGTGACCCTTCCTTGGGTTTCCAAGGCAGTATCACTATGGAAATAGATTGCCTAGTTTTGCTTCCGTGAAGTGGCTGGTGGCTTTGAACTGCCAGCCTTCTAGTTAGCAGTCACATGCCTTAGGCACTGTGCTACCAGAGCTCCAAACAAAAAAACCGACATTTTTTTGTTCTCTGTATTTGGTTAAGCTCCTGTTCAGTTCATTGCAAATTACTCTTTAAAACTGCAGCCCCCTACAGTGAGGAGGGGCAGTCTTCACATGTGTTTATGCACATTCTTCAGTTGGAGCCTTCCAGGGATTCCAAATTCACAAGCACCTTATGAGAAATACGAAGTGCATTCACCCAGTTAGCCAACAAATACTTGTTGATTTTGTTGATCTGGAAGCATAGTCTCTAACCTCAAGAAGCTGTTGGTCTAGAGAGACAATTAAGCAGAGAGTCAATTGCGAGTCATATTATACGGCTAAGACAGAGGGCAGTCGGGTGTCCTAGGAGGACTGGAAAGGGGCATGGAAATCAGACGAGCAGGGAGTGAGGAGGGGAATGAGACAGTCAGGGAAGGCTCCCTGGAAGAGCTGCCACCCACACATGCCTGCTGTCAGTAATCTGCCCGCTGTCCACTGAGATTCCGGTGTTTCTTCATTCCTAGTGGAGCTCGCCCATGATCCCCAGTCTCTGCAGTCCACAGGAGGCTGCAGGGTGTTTGAGCTCGGGCTCTTCAGATGCCTGGATGTCTGCTGCCGGGTAGTCATCCCAGTGCCAACGAGATGACTGTGAGCCATGCAGGAGGGTGACCTTAAATGTGGTCAGCTGAAGGGAGCTTCATGGAAGAACGGAGTCTCTAAAAATCATAGAGTTCTCCAACTAGAACTTGTGGTTGGTGGTGCCACCTAGCTGATTCCCACTAGGAGCTAGGCCACGTGACGGAGTGGAACTGCCTCCGAGGGTTTTCTGGGCTGTAAACTTTACAGAAGCAGACTGCCAGATCTCTCTTCCATGGGGTGTGGATGGGTTCAAACCAACAACTTTACGGCTAGCAGCCGAATACTTAACCAAGAACTAGAAGAGAAATTTAGTTATTTGTTTTATCCTCAGCTCCTAGAACAGGGACAGGTAAAAAGTAGACCCTCAATAATTACCTGTTGAACAGAAGAATGAATCCGCCCAATGGTACTATGGAGTGGGCTCCACCAGCCTAGGAGAGCTAGTTGGTATGTTTTCAGGAATTTTATGAGATGGCTGGT